GAGGGAATCAAAATGACCACAGCTGATCACAGTTGAAAGTCAAATGGCTTTGTGTTCCATTAAGAAGGTGATTAGCTACACCTGATTGAGTTTACAAGTCATTTTTGGAAAGATCTTTTTTCCAGCTCAGTGATTCTGTTTTTTTTATTATTATTATTATTATTCTGACATGTTGGTGTACTCAGTTGCACTGAGTAAATACAGCTGGATAAAACAAAAACTAATTTCAGGCAGCAAAGCAACAAAATGTGATTATTTTAAATGGGGATGAATCTTTTCCACTGTAGTTGGCCAATGCTTGTCTGTTACTGACACAAGTTGGTTATTGCTGCAGGGAGATGTGTTTGACCAGAATGAAATTACTTTTGCTGGTAACCAACCTGTTTTACTGGTTATATGAGAATTAAACCAGCTTAAAAAGGCTGTAGCTTTTTTCTTCAGGGCATCCTGATATAATCAGACGCAACTCAAACTTTAATTTCATCAGCTTTGTAAACCCAACTCTCAGATGTCACTGACATTCGTTTGATGTGGTGTTGTCATATTGGAGCACATAACATAATTTATCTTGTACACAAAAGCCATCTGTTTGCCCAACTGTCCCACAGAGCAGCTCGTGACAGGCGTGTTTGCTACACCGTTCGCTTCATAAACCTACTCAAGCACAAAATGTACAGAGTTTGAAAGAAACTGATGGATGACATACTAGTACATGGCAGAAAGCGCTCTCCCTTCATATCACCAGCAACTTCTGAGAGACAAATTTATCAGCGGTAATGGCGTGTAAGGTACTTTGGCCTTGTTCATGCCAAGTGCACTGTGTCTGAGAGTGAGAGCGGTCAGGAAGGAGAGAACAGTTGTTCAGTGTTTTGTGGTGTGTGACAGATAGAGGTAAACTGGCCACTGGGGACCACCAATGAGCTAATGTCGTTCCACAAGTCCGTGATTAATTGTAGAAAGGAATTCATTTCTCTAAGCTAACATCAACCTGGTTATTATGTTCTGATGACTTTTGCCCTTCATGATGGCATCAGAGTAAATGACAACCCTCTGATTTATCAATCAGAGCTGTCAAATCAGCAGCTGCTGTGGGTTTGTTAACCTGAACCCCTGTTGTCCTGAATCCGCCCTCGGTGGAGACTCTTAGACTTGTCATTTTATTAGCCTATTCTGCGCTGTGGTTGGATTGTATTTGGATTCCAGAAGCAAAATGCCATTCACTTTATGTTTGTATCAATGTGGGTATGACGTGACTCTATCTATGACTCTCTCTCTCTTTTTTTGAATCTGGTAATTTATTCAAAATGCAATTCATACATACAATAACCTGAATACTCCTCTTAAATTTTTTTAAATGAATTAATTAAAATTACCCCCCATATTATTATTATTGTTATTATTATTATTATTAGTTCTTGGAATATATTAACATTCAAAAAGTTTTTTTTTGTCTCATGCTCACCAAGGCTGCATTTATTTGATCAAAAATACAGTAGAAACATTATATTGTGAAATAAAATTACAAATTAAAATAACAGTTTTCTATTGTAATATATTTTAAAATGTAATTTTTCTTTGATTAATAGAAAGAAAAGAACAGCATTTATTTGAAATATAAATATTTTGAAATATTATATAGTAAATTACATTACTGTCACTTTTGATAAGTTTAATGCATCCTTGCTGAGTAAAAGCATTAATTCGTTTTTTTTTTTTTTTTTAAAGAGCAGTAATGTATATATACTAACCAAATTGAAACAAAAAAAAAACAAGAAATTATAACTTTGTGTCAAGTTTAGTAGGTCTCTTAAAATATCAGATAATTTGACATTTTTATGACAAGGCAAAGTTAGTACAGATTGTAAAATGTTGTGTGGTGTATCTACTCAAAACTTTGGCATGATATGAATTATAATCATAATACTTGTTTAAAAATCCTTTTTACCTTAATAAATATATTTATACTTAAATGTCTTCCCATATTTCTCCCGTATTTTTAATCTTTCTATAAAAAAATCCCACTGGTCGTATTTTATATGTTTGCTACATTCGCTTCCGGTAAAACTCCCATAATTTGTATGGCCCATCTCATTATATGAATAATCACGTCGATAGTCGATGCACGGCCTCAAGCCCCCATCCTTCTTGCTCACAAAGAAGAAGCTCGAGGCTGCCGGGGAGGTGGATGGGCGGATGAAACCTTGCTTAAGAGCCTCCTGGATGTAATCCTCCATGGCCTTGCGCTCCGGGATGGACAGTGGGTATACTCTACCCTTAGGGAGTTTTGCCCCAGGCAGCAAGTCGATGGCACAGTCCCATGGCCGGTGCGGTGGAAGGCGAGTGGCTGCCTGCTTACTAAAGACATCCTGGAATGTCTTTAGTAAAAGCCCTAGCGGCTTTCCCTGAATCGTCTCGACTCGGAGCTCCCGGGCTTGACGTAGGCGGGGTAGATGGAGACGCTTTAGGAGGTCACAGGATATGAAATTGCCCGAAGAGCCCGAGTCGATGAGGGCTGAAACTGAAACCGAGAGGTTTTTGGTTAGCAGTTGCACTGGCAGCAGGGATAATGTAGATATTTATGGTAGGGCTGGTGGGCTGCTTCGTGGGGCTGGCAGGCGGACAACCGTTGCGAGATGCGAGTGGCTCGTTGTAGGAAGCCCTCTAGTCCGATGTTGTCATCGTAGATGGCCATTTGAGCACGAAGGGAAGGGTCCAGACCTTGACGGTAGGCACTGAGGAGGGACGCCTCATTCCAGCCACTAAGGAATTAATTATGGTACTATCAGCGTTCCATATTGCTCGGGCCCATTCCAGCGCGTTGCCGTTTAGGAGGGAAATTAAGAAGGCTACCTTTGAACGTTCCGTGGTGAACTTCTGCGGCTGCATTTCTAGAAACAGATCCACTTGGAGAAGGAAGCCGCCACACACAGCCGCGTCACCAGCATATGAAGCAGGCAGGGCCATGGGACTGACAGAGGCAGATGATGGGGTGGTGACTGGCGTGAGGGAGGTCCTGAGGGCGCCTACTAGCTCCTCGAGGACCTCTGTAGTGGATGGAAGACGGGGATCCATGGAGGTGTTGGTTCCGGTCCGGTCTTCTGTCACACACAGGCAAGAGACAAGAGGAGTTCAGGTAAACAGAGGGGTTTATTGTAAATGTGGTGCTGGTAGGATCGAAGGCAGGTGAGCAAGAGAGATATGAGAGAGTTCTGGGGATCTTAGCTTCTTGGTAATCTGGGTGTGAATGTAGTAGGAATCCTGGAGATGAACCGGGGCTGAGGAGAATCAGAAGAGCGGAGACTGAATGTACTTCTGGAGGTAAGGAAACAACAGTTAGTAAAGCTTGTAATGAGTCTGGCAATGTTCAGGTAGTGAACGGTAGACCGGACACTGGAATGCTGAGTGGAGTGAGAAGATATAGCGGGCTTAATTGGTGATGCAGGTGCAGGTGATCAGAATTCGGGTGATTGGGATCTGGTGTGTGTCGGAGGAGGTGACTGTGCTGACGTGAGTGATTGCGATGATCTCCTGACACATATAATATAATAATTGAATAATTAATTTTGACTCCGCCCCCCATATGGTGGTGGACGAGGAGATACCTCCTCACAATGTAGAGCACTCTGAGTGCTTAGAAAAGCAGAAAAGCGCTATATAAATGTAATGAATTATAATTTTTTTTTATTATTAACCTGTTGATTGAATACTAAAATCAACAGGCTGAAGAACACTTACACAAGGAACCATAGCAAAAACAACTAACCTAAATAATATACATTTTTATCATTATTAAAGACAAAAAAACAACAATTTTTTAAGATTTTCAGGTATTTAGATGCAAAGGTTATTCCATCAAGAACAGCGAGTGAATTTTCTGTCTTTTGTTTGATTAATGTTATTATAGAGACGGCAGCAGGAATATTCTATGCTGCTGTTACTTTAAGAGATGCACGGAAGACATAATTGACTGTGTTTACGAGAATATTTTGACATTGTTGTGTGTATGTTATTTCAAATGCAAAAAGACATGGGAAAGGACTCAGTTCAGTATCACACACTATACAGTATGAGAGGCGGCTTTCTGTACGCACATCTTGGATGTGTGTGCAGCAGAGAAAACAGCACGCGAGTCTTCTTGACTTGCTTAGTTTAAAATCACATTAAACTACACTTTTACATGCATCTGATTGACAGATAAATCATGGTTTATCTGTCAGTAAGATGCACATGAAAAATGCATGCTCTCTTATTTCAATGTTGTTAATGTTGAGGTTTTTTCAGCTTCGTACGTAGTTTGCTTCTTACATTTAGTTTAACTGCACTGTTAAAGAGGTGAACTTCAGCTGAACTGTGTGCCTGCATTTTAGACACTTACATTGTTCTTGCTCCATCCATGCAATAACTGCGTCCTTCTATCAACCAAGTTTTCTATTTACTTAAACTGCTGAGTTCTCTGGTAATATCAATGGTATGACCCATTTCAAGAGCTGTCAAAATTACAAAATCAGAGCATAGCCTACTTACATTACCTAAAATATTAAAACATTAACAATACCGATTAAAAAACGCCAATGCCAGTGATTGATTGACAAAGCAATGCACGGTTTGAACGCCCCGCCCCCCAGCTGAGCTGGAAGTTTTGATTTGTTTTGCACCCGAGGGACCTGTTTGTTATTGCCTGAAGCGCAGGGCTTCACCCCAGTAGTTTGAAAAGTGCCCGTCAGACGCCAACTCGTCTTGTTTCTCGGCACCTTTGTCTATTTTGTACTTTGTACTTTTGGTGAAAAATAAATGTAACGAACTTGAATGCTATTTTATTTTTATTCAACTCAAGTAAATGTAAAAGTGCCACAATTTAATTATACTTAAGAACGTATAATTTAAAAAAAATGTACTCAAGTACTGTAATGAAAGTATTTGTTATTAGTTACTTTCCACCTCTGGTTATAGGGTTGCAACGTTTTAAATGTTAATCAATATTTTTCCATCTTTTTGTATAGGTTCTGGTCTGAATGATGGAGAATGGCATGATGTTCGTTTCCTGGCCAAAGAGAATTTTGCCATGCTGACCATTGATGGGGACGAAGCATCAGTTGTGAGAACCAGCTCGCCTGTCCAGATCACAACAGGAAGCACGTACCACTTTGGAGGTAAGTTCAGAAATTTACAGAGACCAAAACTGAGAATCCCGAAGTACCATGAGAATAGATCCTCAGATCTTTACACTCTCCCTGGCGCATTGGCCCCTGGCTTACAAAGGCCTTTGAATTTGTTTCTGCTGAAAGACCAGCACTAGAAAGGATTTGAGAACTTTTTTTCATTATGCATGCATAAAGACACCCCTTTAAAGAAATCAGGATGGGCATTAATGCTGATATGCTTTTATGTTTTATCTCGTTTAATTGGAAAACTAAAGAAAATTAACAAAGGGATGGTCTGCTTAAAAGAAGAAGTAATTGGCTGCCCAGATTAGTGTGAACGTTCTCCATTGTCTTTTAACTCTCATGAGGACCAGAGTGTCAAGGCGAAATGTCAGTACAGTTTTGATGTAAAAATGAATAAAACATTTATCACAGATATTACTTATTTGAAATTCACTTAAACCATAACAACGTCTTCTTGGAAAATCATTGGGCCTCATAATGTGAATGAGATAAACGTAAAATGTGATCCACAGCGTCTAAGCCTGATGGCAAAGCCTTCAAAAAGTTTGCTGGGCTTATCAATATTGTCTTGAGTTGGAAGTCAGAAGAAGATAGTGAGAAAATTAAGATGTTGTATTTGTAGTATTATTACAATTTAAAATAGCTGTTTTCTATTTTAATATATTTATTCCTTTGATGACAAAGCTGAATTTTCAGTAGCCGTTACTCGTAATTTTCCCAACAAATCCTAGATATGGTATGCAACCAACATGCCAGAAGAAGACAAACTTGTATAGTTGTTGAAAGTGATCAGTTTTCATGATTTTCCTCAGTCCAAAAACATCAGCTTGATGTATTTGGTTCAGGGGATCTGAAAAGTGATTTTGCCTACATCAAATTGTCTGAAGAGACAAACAGAACTTGTCTTCTCCTTCTGATAGAGTGGGAGGGTGCTGTGACCTTCCGTCCTCGTCTTTGTTTTTTAAGTTTTCGATCCAAAGTTGTATGTGCCACCACACACACATTAATTTTCCCCCCTTTGATGGAAACAAACCCATCCTGGTGCTATCTTCAGCCAGCCATCTGTCCGATCAGACCATTGGCAGGAAGTCAGAGATAAGAGCATGTTCAGCGGCTCAGAGAGGCAAATATGCAAAGGAAGACCAGCAGCTGAGATAGACAACAGTGTCTGGCGCTATCAAACCTGTCTGTCTATTGAGGCTGAGGGATAACATGGTTGATAGCTTTATCAGACTCACACATCTTCAAAAACAGCTAAATGAGGTAAGAACTGCAGTCCCTTCGCTCTGGGTTTGGCATGGTCAGGCAGCACATTTACTCATGACAGCCTCTAAAATGAGATCAAAAAGCTTCACTTCTCTTCATTGCGCTACTGTTGGTTCACCTGCACACTAACTATAATTATCAGTCATGCTTCTCCATCCGTCACTGTTATTTTCTAGAGAGATGTGTCTGTACTGTCTGATTTGTTTACTGCTTGGATCTTTTTTTGAGCATAGAAAGACCTCCATATGGCCAAATATGAATATGCCATAGACGGTTAACATTGGGAATGACTGTAAAACACAGATTGAAACATATAAGAGCAATCAATATAACAAACTGAATATTTAATTCCTCATTCTTGGGATAAATGTTTTCTCTGAACTGTCAAATCATGGTCTAAAAAAAAAAAAAAGGTTGTATAAATTTTGAAGTCTAGTTCCTCAAATTTAATGTTTTTTTTTTGTTTTTGTTTTTTTGGTGGGGGCCCCACATTCAAAAATATATTTAAGCTAAAATATATTTAATATATTTCAATTTAAATTAATAAATTATATAAAAATATATTATTTATTTATTTATTTTCATTGTTTCCCGTTTATGCCTATATATACTGAACAAAATTATATAGATCTTTGAGTTCAGCTCATGAAAAATGGGGGCAAAAACAAAAGTGTTGCACTTATAATTTTGTTCAGTGTATATATATATATATATATATATATATCTTTATCTTAAGTTAATATTTTAATTTCTAATCTAAACTTGAGAAAATTGTAGTGCTGCAAAAAAATAGTTCCTTGTACTGCAGGTGTGTAGAAGGGTATTTGAAAATGGGCAAAAGAGGGTGGCTAACCGCACATTGATCCACTCAAGACTAAAAAGCATCTTTTTAATTTTTTATAAATTGCATTGTGCAAAGTGCATGTGAATTAAAAACAGATGGTGAGCAAGAGGGTGGCTAACCGCACACTGATCCACTCAAGACTAAAAAGTCTACAAAAACATATTTTTAATGTTTATAAATTGCATTGTGCAAAGTGCATGTGAATTAAAAACAGATGGACACGAACAAGCAAGCAAACGTTTCAGCACATTGCTATCTTCAGTGCTTCAGAGCACTGAAGATAGCAATGTGCTGAAACGTTTTTGTCTTGAGTGGATCAGTGTGCGGTTAGCCACCCTCTTGCTCATTTTCAAATTTCTAATCTAAAACATACATTTTGTATAGTCTTTTTTTTTCCTCTCAAAATTTCTGTGGATTATTAAGCACCTCATTGTGGTCCATTAGGGGTTCCGGGACCCCTGTTTGAAAACCTTTGGTCTAAGAGATCTGATTTCAGATATAACTCAGATATAACAACTTTTTATAACAACTTTTTATAATAGATATAACTTTTTTGACAATTTTGTAGGGTAGTTAATGCATTTTGCTTTTGCACGCTTTTCAGTGGATTGCACAAGTAAACAAACAGAATCTGTGCTATCCATTAGTGTGTGCATATGGTCTGTACTAATATTAAGCAATATGTTTTATCAAAATATTCAGTTATTAAACTAGCCTCTCTGTGGCTCAAATGGGCTTTGCTTTAAATGATTTGTATAGCAAATTAAGTTTTGGCAGCTTTGTTGGCTCTCAGAAAAGTCTTGTTGCTCCCTAGCCAGTTCATTCATGATTATTATAAAGTTTATTCTTTATTTAGTTGATTATTATAAAATAAGCTAATTTTTCAGTTAGAAGACACTTTATACCTAAGCATTAAATGGGCAAATTACAGTACAGTTTTACTGCAGTGACTGAAACAGTTTGTCTTGTTCTTGGGCACTATGGTGTTTAAAGTTTAAAGCAGTTTAAAGGCCCTGATATACCCCCGGCAAAGTTCTTTTTCTTTCTTGGATTAGGGGTAAAACAAAGTTTGAAATACCTGAGCAGCAATATACTCTTAGCTAACATCCCACACTGCTGGGAGCAGCTTTTAGATGAATCCCTTAATATGTCTTGCAAGCTTTCCTCTCAGTAATGAAATTAACACACAATAAAAATGACAGCGGTGAGAAAACAACATTAATGAAAGCATCTGATCATAGCGATGTGGATATGTTTTAACCAATGCTGCAATTTGGCACTCCAGTTAAGTCACATCATGTTTATTTATATAACAGTTTATACAATAGATTGTTTTAAACAAGCGGTTTTACAGTATTAAACATGAAAAACAATGTTAGTGTTGCTTTCAGTTAGATTTACATTTTCACGTTCTACTATAAAGCAACTCTCCAGGGTGTTCACATTATTACTCATGTTGGACCACAACAGACTAAAAAGAAGAAATGAACCTGGAGAAGATTTCTATGTCAAAGAAGGCAGAGCCCCAGAGCCGTATACCTACTGTACCTATTACACAATCACCACAGACCATAGTTCGGAGGTGTTTACCAGACACAGTGAATTCTTCTAGAAAGTTTGCTTTGGCAAGCTGTTTTAAACACTCCAAACTAACAGCCAAAAAAATCTGATCACAGCAGATCATTCTTTGATTCTGCTTGAAGTATATAGCGGGGCCTTAGGATTTCCCCCTTCTAGGGTTTGGCCTGCAACCACTGCATTCTTCTTGAGAAATGTGTATAAATATAAATCTTTAAAGGAATAGTTTAAAGATTTAAACTAAAATCCACCCCCCCAAAAAGAAAAAAGAAAATTTACTCCCACCTCAGGCCATCCAAGATGTAGATGAGTTTGTTTCTTCATTGGAACAGAAATTGCTATGGATCCTCTGCGGTGAATGGGATGAGAGTCCAAGCAGAGGATAAAAACATCACAATAGTCCACATGTAATCCACACGACTCCAGTCCATCAATTAACATCTTGTGAAGTGAAAAGCTGCTTGTTTGTATAAATAGACTTTTTCTTTCACTTTAAACCTTAAAATACGAGTCCATCAAAAGTCATCCTGTCTGAATCAGGAAAGAAATATGTACAAATCAAGCATAATTTATAAGTGAAAACAGTTCTAAACAAATATGTTGTTGGATTTTGATGTGAGAAGACAACAGCGGATGGACTTTTTCACTGGAGAATGTATTATTATGGATTATGGACTGAATTTGGCCAGAAGCAACAGTTTAAAGTTAAAAACATCTGGATGGATTTGTTTGTTACAAACATACAGCTTTTCACTTCGCAAGATGTAAACTGATGGACTGGCGTCGTGTGGATTATCGTAACGCTTTTATCATTGGTTTGGACTCTCGTTCCCATTCACTGTAAAGGATCCATTGGGGAACAAGTGATGTAATGCTAAATTTCTACAGATCTGCTCTGATGATCTTGGATGGCCTGAGGGTAAGTACATTTTCAGCAGAGTTTTATTTTTTTGGGTGAACTATTCCTGTAACCACAACTCTCCACCAGATTTCTTGCTTATCTAGTGAAACCATCAGCATGAACACTGGTAATTGAGGCTGCTTATGCATGGAAGCTAATTGTAGAGCATGGAAATGGGCACATTAAATTTAATGTGGTAAAATCATCAAAGGCTTGAATCTGATCAGACTGTACTAGCAATGGCAAGGTCAGCTACAAAAAAAAATATGTAGGACCAGATTGGGTTACTGGAGGCAGCTCATACAGTATGTTCCTAATCACCTCACTCTGGCAGCTGTAGTGCATTGCATCAATGTGAACACACATGCACATGTTGGCAGACTGCAAGAGCATAAC